CCACCACAATACACTGTGGTGGCCAGCTACCACACCACCACAATACACTGTGGTGGCCAGCTACCTCACACCACACCACCACAATACACTGTGGTGGCCAACTACCACACCACCACAATACACTGTGGTGGCCAGCTACCTCACACCACACCACCACAATACACTGTGGTGGCCAACTACCACACCACCACAATACACTGTGGTGGCCAGCTACCTCACACCACACCACCACAATACACTGTGGTGGCCAACTACCACACCACCACAATACACTGTGGTGGCCAGCTACCTCACACCACACCACCACAATACACTGTGGTGGCCAACTACCACACCACCACAATACACTGTGGTGGCCAGCTACCTCACACCACACCACCACAATACACTGTGGTGGCCAACTACCACACCACCACAATACACTGTGGTGGCCAGCTACCTCACGCCACACCACACCACCACAATACACTGTGGTAGCCAGCTACCTCACTCCACACCACCACAATACACTGTGGTGGCCAGCTACCTCACTCCACACCACCACAATACACTGTGGTGGCCAGCTACCTCACTCCACACCACCACAATACACTGTGGTGGCCAGCTACCTCACACCACACCACCACAATACACTGTGGTGGCCAACTACCTCACACCACACCACCACAATACACTGTGGTGGCCAACTACCTCACGCCACACCACCACAATACACTGTGGTGGCCAGCTACCTCACGCCACACCACCACCGTCAATGCTCTGTCCCGCCTTTCACTTATTTACTGGTAACACGGTGGAGTGATGATAATGATTCCCGCTCAGTGACACGGGACGGTGACGCCTCCTGACCAGCGGTGCCTGCCTGGCTACTCTAGGGCGTCCGCACACCCCACCAGTACCAGGTGGCTGCATCACTGGTATATCATCGTGTCCAGTGAGAGAGCGCGGCATGTCTTCCTCGCACAGTCAATAATGTGATTGTGTATCTATACAACTCAATTGCTAACCACAATACACGTGGATAATGTCATTTAATTCACTTGGACTCGGTGCCTCGAATCACGAACCACACAAGCAGTAGCCCAGCTCTACCCACCACACCACTCAACACCAACAGTGAGAGAGGACCTCGGAAACACGCAACTACCATACAACCCAGATGTTAAACCTCCCCTGGGATGCCCTGGGATGTCTTTGGATGCCCCGGGATGCCCTGAGATGTCTTCGGATTCCCCGGGATGCCCTGGGATGTCTTCGGATGCCCCGGGTTGCCTTTTGATGTCCTGGGATGCCCCGGGATGCCCTGGGATGTCTTCGGATGCCCCGGGTTGCCTTTTGATGTCCTGGGATGCCCCGGGATGCCCTGGGATGCCACTTGTGTTCGGAGATGTCATTCGTTTCATTCACTTGGGCCACGAGAACCTTGTACCACAGGCCTCGAAAGTGGTAGTGAATGAAATGGGGACCAGTTCTCAAATGAATATGTCTTTACGTGTTTGTAGCTTTCTTAGATGACAGGTGTAATGATGACTGTGAAGCCCTTTAAGATGTCCTGATAGTTAACGATGGTATTGGGGTGTTGTTTAATTCCTTCTTGTAAAAGAAAAGTGAGATACCTACTCGGAGTGTTAGTTCGTGTCCAATATGGCACATATTTCGTAGCACACAGTATCCAGAGTAGTACTTGTACTCATATACTGCATTAGTACACTTCAGTTTGTCAGAGGAGGCAGAAATGTTTTTCATAATGAAAAAAGAAAGCTGTACGAAGGGTTGTTTTCATAAATAATAGGACAAATCTTTGGGTGATCCATGCCTTTGATAGTGTTGTATGTACACAATATATTACTATAGACAAATCTTCAGGTGTTTTGTATATAAGAACATGTCTTGTTTAATATGGTTAAACACATACCTCCTTAGTTACACACAGGGTTCCTGTAGCACTGTTGTTGGCGTGATCACTTCACAACCGAAAGGTTCCGGGTTAGATGGCCAAGCAGGGCTGACACATTGGGTATTTTTCTTTTCATTTGATGTCTTTGCTCACCTGGTAGTAAATAGGTACCCAAGAGTTATTCAACTGTTGAAGGTTGCATCTTGGGGAAGCTCAGAGGTCGGTCTAGGGTCTCCTGGCAACACCCGACACCTTAAAGTCCTCGACAAGGGGGAACTGTGATCATTTCAGCCAATCTTGGGCCAGAATGAAGCATTGTATGAGGAAGGTTAGTACATACGAACATAATACCAGAATAACCTTCCATGGGCTTTATTGGCTCGTGCGAGACAGTTGGTGCCGTATATCTTACCACGACCACCTGGCCACTGTACACTTGAGACACTCTAGCAACCCGTCATGCCCGGCCTCACCTTCCTTATATACAACTATTACATTCAAAAACCAGTATTTACTCAAGTATTTACTGAATCAAAAATAGTTTCTATGGTTTCGGGCTTTATTTTCTCTCTCACTCACACACACGCACACACACAATATATGTGCGTGTGTGTGTGTGTGTGTGTGGTCAAGGTCAGTGTCCCTCACTTGCATACCATGCAAGCTGATGGAGAAGATTGTGCGAAAGAAAGCTAGTGGAACATCTGGAGCGTAGGAACTTTGTGTCACAACACCAACATGGTTTCAGGGATGGCAAGTCCTGCCTCACAGGATTAATTGAATTCTATGATCAGGCAACAAGAATAAGGCAAGAAAGAGAGGGGTGGGCAGCCTGCATATTTTTGGATTGCCAGAAAGCCTTTGACACAGTACCACACCAGAGACTAGTGCGAAAGCTGGAGATGCAGGCAGGAGTGAAAGGGAAGGTACTCTATTGAATAACGGAGTACCTAAGTAACAGAAGACAGCGAATCACTGTAAGGGGTGAGGTCTCAGACTGGCGAGACGTCACCAGTGGAGTCCCGTAGGATTCAGTCCTTGGACCTATACTGTTTCTAATATATGTAAATGATCTCCCAGAGGGTATAGAATCACTCCTCTCATTGTTTGCTGATGATGCAAAAATTATGAGGAGGATTAAGACGGAGGAAGATAGTATGAGGCTACAAGATGACCTAGACAGACTGAATGAATGGTCCAACAAATGGCTACTAAAGTTCAACCCAAGTAAATGTAAGGTAATGAAACTAGGCAGTGGAAACAGACCAGACACAGGATACAGAATGGGAGATGAAGTCCTTCACACAACGGACAGAGAGAAAGATCTAGGAGTTGATATCACACCAAACCTGTCTCCTGAAGCCCACATAAATAGAATTACGTCTGCGGCATATGCGAGGCTGGCTAACATCAGAACGGCCTTCAGGAACTTGTGTAAGGAATCATTCAGAATCTTGTATACCACATATGTAAGACCAATCCTGGAGTATGCGGCTCCAGCATGGAGCCCGTACCTTGTCAAGCACAAGACGAAGCTGGAAAAAGTTCAAAGGTATGCCACTAGACTAGTCCCAGAATTAAGAGGCATGAGTTACGAGGACAGGCTACTTGAAATGCACCTCACGACACTGGAAGACAAAAGAGTAAGGGGATACATGATCACGACCTACAAAATTCTCAGAGGAATTGACAGGGTAGATAAAGATAAACTATTCAACACTGGTGGTACGCGAACAAGGGGACACAGGTAGAGACTGAGTTCCCAGATGAGCCACAGAGACGTTAGAAAGAACTTTTTCAGTGTCAGAGTAGTTAACAGATGGAATGCACTAGGAAGTGATGTGGTGGAGGCTGACTCCATACACAGTTTCAAGTGTAGATATGATAGAGCCCAGTAGGCTCAGGAACCTGTACACCAGTTGATTGACAGTTGAGAGGCGGGACCAAAGAGCCAGAGCTCAACCCCCGCAAGCACAAAAAGGTGAGTACAAATAGGTGAGTACACACACACACGCATTCACATATATATATATATATATATATATATATATATATATATATATATATATATATATATATATATATATATATATTTATATATATATATATATATATATATATATATATATATATATATATATATATATATATATATATATATGTTGGTACTTCCTGGTGGTCCATCACGACATGTTGGTACTCTTGACCACACCGGTACTGTCAGTACTCTGTTCCAGGGAAGATGGCCGGGTTTGTTGGAGTATATTGTCAGCAATATTTTACATCTATCTGGCAGACAGTGAGAGAGAGAGAGAGAGAGAGAGAGAGAGAGAGAGAGAGAGAGAGAGAGAGAGAGAGAGAGAGAGAGAGAGAGAGAGAGAGAGAGAGAGAGAGAGAGAGAGAGAGAGGGAGAGAGAGAGAGGGAGAGAGAGAGGGAGAGAGAGAGAGAGAGAGAGAGAGAGAGAGAGAGAGAGAGAGAGAGAGAGAGAGAGAGAGAGAGAGAGAGAGAGAGAGAGAGAGAGAGAGAGAGAGAGACAAGGAGAGAGAGAGAGAGAGAGAGACAGGAGAGAGAGAGAGAGAGAGACAGGGAGAGAGAGAGAGACAGGGAGAGAGAGAGAGACAAGGAGAGAGAGAGAGGGGGGGTAGGGGGAGAGCGTCGGGTCAGCTGGTAGTGTGGTAATGACACTACACACAGGTGTACACCTCACCTGCCGCCCCGTGGCCGCCTCCCTCACCCCCACCACCTGCTCCTCCTCCTCTCCTTGTTCTCCTCTCCCTCTCCCTCTCCCTCTCCCACCTCTCCCTCTCCCTCTCCCTCCTCTCCCTCTCCCCCGTGGTGATCACTTATCCTCCCCGTTGTTACTGCTGCACCTGCGCCTCTACCCGCTCCTCTCCTGGCCTCTCCTACTGTTACTTGCTCTGTTGCTCCTTGTGCCGCGTCTCCTGTTGCTGCCTGTTGACACTCCTCCCCGTCCTCCTCCTCCTCCTCCTCCTCCTCCTCCTCCTCCTCCTCCTCCTCCTCCTCCTCCCCGTCCTCCTCCTCCTCCTCCTCCTCCTCCTCCTCCTCCTCCTCCTCCTCCTCCTCCTCCTGCACTTGTCATGATCAGGGAGAGTGTTGATCATGGCACTGTTGTTGCTCGTGGCACTGCTGTTGTTCGTGGCACTGTTGTTGCTCGTAGCACTGTTGTTGCTCGTGGCACTGCTGTTGCTCGTGGCACTGCTGTTGCTCGTGGCACTGCTGTTGCTCCTGGCCCTGCTGTTGCTCGTGGCCCTGCTGTTGCTCGTGGCACTGCTGTTGCTCGTGGCACTGTTGTTGCTCCTGGCCCTGCTGTTGCTCGTGGCACTGTTGTTGCTCCTGGCCCTGCTGTTGCTCGTGGCCCTGCTGTTGCTCGTGGCCCTGCTGTTGCTCGTGGCACTGTTGTTGCTCGTGGCACTGCTGTTGCTCGTGGCCCTGCTGTTGCTCGTGGCACTGTTGTTGCTCGTGGCACTGTTGTTGCTCGTGGCCCTGCTGTTGCTCGTGGCCCTGCTGTTGCTCGTGGCACTGCTGTTGCTCGTGGCACTGTTGTTGCTCCTGGCCCTGCTGTTGCTCGTAGCACTGCTGTTGCTCGTGGCCCTGCTGTTGCTCGTGGCACTGCTGTTGCTCGTGGCACTGTTGTTGCTCGTGGCACTGTTGTTGCTCGTGGCACTGTTGTTGCTCGTGGCACTGTTGTTGCTCGTGGCACTGTTGTTGCTCGTGGCACTGCTGTTGCTCGTGGCACTGTTGTTGCTCGTGGCACTGTTGTTGCTCGTGGCACTGCTGTTGCTCGTGGCACTGCTGTTGCTCGTGGCCCTGCTGTTGCTCGTGGCACTGTTGTTGCTCGTGGCACTGTTGTTGCTCGTGGCACTGCTGTTGCTCGTGGCACTGCTGTTGCTCGTGGCACTGCTGTTGCTCGTGGCACTGCTGTTGCTCGTGGCACTGCTGTTGCTCGTGGCAACAACATATGATGACTACACTCAACACTGTTGGAAATAGACACTGATTATATATATATATATATATATATATATATATATATATATATATATATATATATATATATATATATATATATATATATATATATAAGTATTGTCAGGTGATCGCACACAGGCTTTGCATGTTGTCATTATCTAGGTAAGTGTACACCCACACACACACACACACACACACACACACACACACACACACACACACACACACACACACACACACACACACACACACACAGGACCTTGTATACCACTTATGTCAGACCAATCCTGGAGTATGCAGCTCCAGTCTGGAGTCCATACCTAGTTAAACACAAGACGAAGATAGAGAAGATTCAGCGGTATGCCACCAGACTGGTCCCGGAACTGAGAGGTATGAGCTACGAGGAAAGGCTAAAGGAGCTAAACCTCACGTCCCTGGAAAACAGAAAAGTAAGGGGAGACATGATAACCACCTACAAAATTCTCAGGGGAATTGACAGGGTGGACAAAGACAAACTCTTCAGCACAGGTGGGACACGAACAAGAGGACAGAGGTGGAAACTTAGTACCCAGATGAGCCACAGAGACGTTAGAAAGAATTTTTTCAGTGTCAGAGTGGTTGACAAATGGAATGCATTAGGAAGTGATGTGGTGGAGGCTGACTCCATACACAGTTTCAAGTGTAGATATGACAGAGCCCAGTAGGCTCAGGAACCTGTACACCTGTTGATTGACAGTTGAGAGGCGGGACCAAAGAGCCAGAGCTCAACCCCCGCAAGCACAACTAGGTAACTACAACTAGTTGAATGCACACACGCATACCAGGGGTCTCGCGGCTGAGTGGACAGCGCTCGGGAGTCGTAATCTCAAGGGGCCTGGGTTCGATCCACGGCGTAGGCGGAAACAAACGGGCAGAGTTTATTTTACACTGATTCTCCTGTTCACTTAACAGTAAATAGGTACGTGGGAGCTAGACAGCTGCTACGGGCTGCTTCCTAGGGATGTGTGTGTGTGTGTGTGTGTGTGTGTGTGTGTGTGTGTGTGTGTGTGTGTGTGTGTGTGTGTGTGTGTGTGTGTGTGTGTGTGTGTGTGTGTGTGTGTGTGCGTGTGTGTGTGTTAGAGAGAAATAAATATGTAGTAGATATAATAGAGAAAAAATAGATTGGTTAGAAAGGCGGCGTCTAAGAGCTAATAGCTCGATCCTGCAGACACAAATAGTAAATACAAATAGTTTATATACACACACACACACACAGTCGGACTGGCGAACAGTAACGAGTGGAGTACCTCAAGGATCGGTGCTGGGACCGGTCCTATTTCTAATATATGTGAACGACATGTCTACAGGAGTAGAGTCCTATATGTCGATGGTCGCGGATGACGCGACATTAATGAAACGAGTTGTGACCAGATGAGGATTCCAGGATACTCCAAGAGGACTTGAACAAGCTGCAGAGATGGTCAGAGAAATGGCTACTGGAGTTCAACACGAGCAAATGTAAAATTATGGAAATGGGACTAGGTGATAGGAGACCAAAGGGACAGTACACAATGAAGGGGAACAGCCTACCTGTGACGATTCGAGAGAGAGACCTGGGAGTTGACGTGTCACCTAATCTAACTCCTGAGGCACATATAAATAGGATAACGACAGCAGCGTACTCTACACTGGCAAAAGTTAGAACATCATTCAGAAACCTAAGTAAGGAGGCATTTAGGGCACTTTACACTGCCTACGTGAGGCCAGTCTTAAGAGTATGACGCGCCATCATGGAGACCCCATTTAATTAAAGAAACACACAAAGGAAACTGGAAAAAGTTAAAAAAATATTACGACGAGGCTAGTCCCAAAGTTGCATGGGATGGGATATGAAGAGTGACTGAAGGAACTGAACCTCACGACGTAAGAAAAAGACGAGGAGTGGGGAGATATGATAATTGCATACAAAATACTTTGGGGGATTGACAGAGTGGAAATAGACGAAATATTCACACGGAATACCAACAGAACAAGAGGACATGAGTGGAAGCTGGAAACTCCAGCGAACTCATAGAGTCACAGAGATGTTATAAAGTTTTCTGTTAGCGTGAGAGTAGTGGTGACATGGAGTGAACCAAAGGAGCACATTGTGGAAGCAAACACTATTCATAACTTTGATAGAGAAGGACCGGCGTCATTGCTTTAAACAACCGAAGGCTAGAAAGGCGGGATCCAAGAGCTAGCGCTCGATCCTACAAGCACAAATAGGTGAGTACACACACTTATTGGACCTCGCGGCTGGGTGGATAGCGCTTGGGAGTCGTAGTCCTTAGGGCCCGGTTTCGATTCCCGACCGAGGCACAAACAAATAGGCCAAGTTTCTTTCACCCTGATGCATCTGTTCACCTAGTAGCATATATGTACCTGGGAGTTAGACAGCTGCTACGGGCTGCTTCCTGGGGATGTGTTAGTGAGAAATATATGTAGTAGATATAATGGAGGAAAAATAGCTTGGTTAGGAAGGCGGGGTCCAAGAGCTAATAGCTCCATTCTGCAGGCTTAAATAGTAAATAGACACTCACAGTGCAACATTGAATTAAGAGAATAGAAGATAAGACTATCTGTATGCAGAGTTCCAGAGAGGATACGAGAGGCAGTAGGAGGGTTGCTAGTCATTGTATTAAGATGGGGTCCAGGAGCTGGAACTACCTGGCTGGCAGCACAAAGAGGCAAGTAGCAGTAGATGAGCACCTCTGAAGACACCGCTTAACAATACTCCTACTCTCATCTCCTGCTAAACTCTCTCTCTCACATTTTTGTATGTTTGTTGAAAAACCAAGCAAGTGTTTGCTTTAAGGTGACGTGTTTATTGATATCTTCAATAAAAGGCGGCAAGCATGTAGCTGGGCTGGCAGTGATTGCCACCGTGTTGCCCGATGCCCTCGCCTTTCCGGCCCTTATGGGTATGCGTACACGCGTTGTGAATATACAAGTGCGTATATATTCCTCGCTTTCTTGCGTGTGTTTTGGGCGCAGCTGTTGGTAGGAGAGGAGATATGTGTGGATAAGCCGGGACGACCCACGTGGCTGGCGGGGCTCAGGCGCATGCGCACTGCTTCAGCGCGTGCTACCCACCAGTTGCTGACGAGAACGTTTTTGCGAAATTTATTCCCTCCAGTACGCATTGCTGCGCACTATTACGCAGGTTATAATAACTTCCTACGGTATATCACTTATGGATGAAGTGGACAAGTGTCATCGGTACTTGACGTGACATGGATAAAGGTTGTGAGTGTTGGTGGTGTTGGCAAGCGGGAGTGCCAGCAGCAGCAGCAGCAGGTCTGTGTGGGGGAGCGGTGCGTGCCGACCCACACCGTCAGTCTACCGTGGACCGTGCGCGCGTGACCTCCTACCGCATCTCTCTCTTCCCTTCACACACCACTCGGCCGCCACCCCAAGCCACCATGCTCATGCCCGCCGCCATACCCTCGGGCCTCACCACGCCTACCATGCACCAGGCAATAGAAGCGCCGGGCATCAGCCAGAAGGACACCACCTTCACCAAGATATTCGTGGGGGGTCTGCCTTACCACACCACGGACAAGTCACTCCGGGAGCACTTCGAGGTCTACGGCGAGATCGAGGAGGCCGTCGTCATCACTGACAGACAGACGGGCAAGAGCCGGGGCTATGGTTTTGTAAGTACCTGATGCCATGTTGCGTGCGTGTGTGTGCGTGTGCGTGCGTGCGTGTGTAGTCGCTAAGGACGTGGCCACAGCTTCCCTGCGGCCTATACATACATATATATATATATATATATATATATATATATATATATATATATATATATATATATATATATATATATATATATATATATATATATATATATATATATATATATATATATATATATATATATATGTATGTATATATAAGCTATGTTCCACACCTGCTTCTACACAATAGTTTAGTGACCAAAACCTGGCATTTTGTGCGACACAACAGCGAGGAAATCGGAAAATGGTTGAGGGAAAAGTGAGGCATCCTGGGGCACCCTGGGGCATCCTAGGGCACCATAGTGAGGCATCCTGGTGAGGCACCCTGGGGCACCCTGGGGCATCCTAGGGCACCATAGTGAGGCATCCTGGTGAGGCACCCTGGGGCACCCTAGGGCATCCTAGGGCACCATAGTGGGGCATCCTGGTGAGGCACCCTGGGGCACCCTAGGGCATCCTAGGGCACCATAGTGGGGCACCCTGATGAGGGGCAATTTATTTTTATTTTACCCTGAGGACCAGGAGGAAGTGTTGCGGCACCTTGTTTCTTTCCGTGAGGTCTGTCATGCAGGACGTGCCCTGGTCTGTCATACAGGACGTGTCCTGGTCTGTCATGCAGGACGTGCCCTGGTCTGTCATGCAGGACGTGTCCTGGTCTGTCATGCAGGACGTGCCCTGGTCTGTCATACAGGGGGTGTCCTGGTCTGTCATGCAGGACGTGCCCTGGTCTGTCATACAGGGGGTGTCCTGGTCTGTCATGCAGGACGTGCCCTGGTCTGTCATACAGGGGGTGTCCTGGTCTGTCATGCAGGACGTGCCCTGGTCTGTCATACAGGGGGTGTCCTGGTCTGTCATGCAGGACGTGCCCTGGTCTGTCATGCAGGACGTGTCCTGGTCTGTCATACAGGGGGTGTCCTGGTCTGTCATGCAGGACGTGCCCTGGTCTGTCATGCAGGACGTGTCCTGGTCTGTCATACAGGGGGTGTCCTGGTCTGTCATGCAGGACGTGCCCTGGTCTGTCATGCAGGACGTGTCCTGGTCTGTCATACAGGGGGTGTCCTGGTCTGTCATGCAGGACGTGCCCTGGTCTGTCATGCAGGACGTGTCCTGGTCTGTCATACAGGGGGTGTCCTGGTCTGTCATGCAGGACGTGCCCTGGTCTGTCATGCAGGACGTGTCCTGGTCTGTCATACAGGGGGGGGTCCTGGTCTGTCATGCAGGACGTGCCCTGGTCTGTCATGCAGGACGTGTCCTGGTCTGTCATACAGGGGGTGTCCTGGTCTGTCATGCAGGACGTGCCCTGGTCTGTCATGCAGGGGGTGTCCTGGTCTGTCATGCAGGACGTGCCCTGGTCTGTCATGCAGGACGTGTCCTGGTCTGTCATGCAGGACGTGCCCTGGTCTGTCATGCAGGGGGTGTCCTGGTCTGTCATGCAGGACGTGCCCTGGTCTGTCATGCAGGACGTGTCCTGGTCTGTCATGCAGGACGTGTCCTGGTCTGTCATACAGGGGGTGTGTCCTGGTCTGTCATACAGGGGGTGTCCTGGTCTGTCATACAGGGGGGGGTCCTGGTCTGTCATGCAGGACGTGCCCTGGTCTGTCATGCAGGACGTGCCCTGGTCTGTCATGCAGGACGTGCCCTGGTCTGTCATGCAGGACGTGTCCTGGTCTGTCATGCAGGGGATGTCCTGGTCTGTCATGCAGGAGCGTCATGTGACACGGTACATCACGCTGGAGTACCGTGTAACCTGGGTAGTGAGGCTTGAGCACCGTACCATAGTTGCTTGTATGACTGCGTTAACCTGCACTCCGCTGGTGGCTGGTGGTGGTGGACCTGCCTGGCCAGATTCACGAAGCATTTACGCAACCACTTACGAACCTGTACATTTTTTCTTAATCTTTGGCGGCTATGTATACAATTATTAAACAGTTAATTAGCTCTGAAGCACCGGCAGGGTATTAATAACAACAGTCGATTGGGAAGTTTTCATGCTTATAAACTGTTTAATAAATGTAACCAAAGCCGTCAAAGATTGAGGAAAGATGTACACGTTCGTAAGTACTTGTGTAACTGCTTCGTGAATCTGGCCCCTGGTGTGTAGGATATATTTAACTGTGTGAGGTCCCTGGTGTGGCCGAGTACCACCCTTCCGCCTCAATAGCACATAGGCGATTTTTCCAAAATGCTGAGGCCTGGTTTAATACATCAACAACTGATGTATTATCATGGCGGCTCGCAGAACTGGCGACATGTCACGTTTCATGAGTGCTCGGTTAGGTTAGGGTAAAGCAAGGAGGAGTAGAAACAGCCTAAGGTACTCTACCCCTTAAGATTCATCTTATTGTCTCAATAAACGTACTTGAACTTGTTAGGGTAATTTAGTACATGTGTTTAGTGACGTTGTGAACGCCGGAGAGGGCCGGCTGGATGAGCGCCAGTCACACGCTTCACGCGATCTCCTTAATTGTAACATCTTCACCTACTTCCTTAACACCCCAGTCCCACCTGGGTGTTGTTGTCGCTGCTGCACATGTTGACAAGTCCAGTTGGGAACACACTGAGTAAAGATAAAAGTAGAAAGTAAACATATAAAGGTATCCTAGCGTAACTTTATAGTTACCATAGGAATAAATTAGGTCTAAGTTAGGTTAGACAAGCTTTTTATTTTTCGTGTTCTTCTCTTCCCTTCTAAAATTGACTGTTTTCAGATTCCCGACATATTATTTTTGTTGTTTGGTTTATAAGTTATTGCTTACTTGGAAACTGAGGTATCAGTCAGTATGTGCATATAAGCCTAGCAGTAGCCATTAAGACTGGGTTGTGTTCACACACACATGAGCATTATGGTAATGTTGTGAAGACTACTGCGCCTCTCTCGTGAGGGTCGACCTCACGGACCAGTTTTCCGTTGTCAAGACAAGATGGCTAACGTGTGGCTGCCACTCTTGTAAAACCTTTGAGCTACTATTGTGGTAATAAGTGAGTCACTGATAAAGACAACAATCTGGATTTGAAACCTATAGGTTTCTTTAGCGTGTAAGCTAACACGCTAAGAAAACGCTCAATGCAAAGTGTCCTCTCCTAACCTACCAGAGGAGCCACAACAGAAAATGGGACAGTACGTCAGTTTCGCCAGCCAACTATCTACGGGCTCACCATAGCCCGTGTTACTTGGACCTTTGTGTTCCAGGTAGCGAATTTTTAACAACAACAACGCTTCCATTTTCTACTACGACGATTTTTTACCTTATGTCACGCATACGAGCGAAAAGCGACGTTCTTTGTAGGAGGACAGGGGGCCAGATTCACGAAACCACTTACGCAAATACGAACGTGCCATAGCGGCTGGCAACATTGACGGGGTGTGACCTCTTCCAGGCGTGGGTACTCAGGTACCGGGCCTCTTCCAGGCGTGGGTACTCAGGTACCGGGCCTCTTCCAGGCGTGGGTACTCAGGTGCTGGACCTCTTCCAGGCGTGGGTACTCAGGTACCGGGCCTCTTCCAGGCGTGGGTACTCAGGTGCTGGACCTCTTCCAGGCGTGGGTACTCAGGTACCGGGCCTCTTCCAGGCGTGGGCACTCAGGTGCTGGACCTCTTCCAGGCGTGGGTACTCAGGTACCGGGCCTCTTCCAGGCGTGGGTACTCAGGTGCTGGACCTCTTCCAGGCGTGGGTACTCAGGTGCTGGACCTCTTCCAGGCGTGGGTACTCAGGTGCTGGACCTCTTCCAGGCGTGGGTACTCAGGTGCCGGACCTCTTCCAGGCGTGGGTACTCAGGTGCTGGACCTCTTCCAGGCGTGGGTACTCAGGTGCCGGACCTCTTCCAGGCGTGGGTACTGAGGTGCCGGACCTCTTCCAGGCGTGGGTACTCAGGTGCCGGACCTCTTCCAGGCGTGGGTACTCAGGTGCCGGACCTCTTCCAGGCGTGGGTACTCAGGTGCTGGACCTCTTCCAGGCGTGGGTACTCAGGTGCCGGACCTCTTCCAGGCGTGGGTACTCAGGTGCCGGACCTCTTCCAAGCGTGGGTACTGAGGTGCCGGACCTCTTCCAGGCGTGGGTACTCAGGTGCCGGACCTCTTCCAGGCGTGGGTACTGAAGTGCTGGACCTCTTCCAGGCGTGGGTACTGAGGTGCCGGACCTCTTCCAGGCGTGGGTACTCAGGTGCTGGACCTCTTCCAGGCGTGGGTACTCAGGTGCTGGACCTCTTCCAGGCGTGGGTACTCAGGTGCTGGACCTCTTCCAGGCGTGGGTACTCAGGTGCTGGACCTCTTCCAGGCGTGGGTACTCAGGTGCTGGACCTCTTCCAGGCGTGGGTACTCAGGTGCTGGACCTCTTCCAGGCGTGGGTACTCAGGTGCTGGACCTCTTCCAGGCGTGGGTACTCAGGTGCTGGACCTCTTCCAGGCGTGGGTACTCAGGTGCTGGACCTCTTCCAGGCGTGGGTACTCAGGTGCTGGACCTCTTCCAGGCGTGGGTACTCAGGTGCTGGACCTCTTCCAGGCGTGGGTACTCAGGTGCTGGACCTCTTCCAGGCGTGGGTACTCAGGTGCCGGACCTCTTCCAGGCGTGGGTACTCAGGTGCCGGACCTCTTCCAGGCGTGGGTACTGAAGTGCTGGACCTCTTCCAGGCGTGGGTACTGAAGTGCTGGACCTCTTCCAGGCGTGGGTACCGAAGTGCTGGACCTCTTCCAGGCGTGGGTACTGACGTGCTGGACCTCTTCCAGGCGTGGGTACTCAGGTGCCGGACCTCTTCCAGGCGTGGGTACTCAGGTGCCGGACCTCTTCCAGGCGTGGGTACTGAAGTGCTGGACCTCTTCCAGGCGTGGGTACTGAAGTGCTGGACCTCTTCCAGGCGTGGGTACCGAAGTGCTGGACCTCTTCCAGGCGTGGGTACTGAAGTGCTGGACCTCTTCCAGGCGTG